TACTTACACCTCTACTTTGGCCACTCTGCCAAGGCAATTTCTCACAGGTCAGGCTCCTTCAAGGCCCTGCCCTGCTGCAAAGGGCTCATCTTTTTTCTCTCAAGGCTCTTCCCTGCTTCTCCACTTTCTGTCCAGCCTTATCGCTTCTAAATACAAATCAATCTTTGATAGTATAAAAACAAGTTAGCTCTCAATCCCCTTATAAAATAAGGCTTTCCTTTGCCTACCCAAAGGCTCTCAAACCAAATGTGCTTAGCTAACCACAGACCTATTTGCTCAACTTAGTTCTTGTGTAGCTTTGCGACAAACCTGACAGAGACCTTGAAATTTAGCCTTCCACAGTCCTTATCCATTTCTGAATGTGGATATATAGTGTATCACTGAAGTGAATGCCTACATTAACAGAAGGGTTGATAGTTTTGATTTTAAACAGCAATGATATTATCTCAACAAAAGATTAATAGCAACCATTTGAGACACATTTGCTTTTGGTAGATAAAGCAGCGTGTGCAAAAATGCAGAGAAGTGGACCTGGTGCACTTGTCCACTTGCATGGTAAGCTTAGAAAACATGCAAATAATTCAGTTTGGCTTGAAGTCAAATCGTGGAAGGAAGCAGGAACCATGGGAAATGAGTTGCAGAGGTAAGTAGTGTTAACTGAAGAAATGACAAGGTTCATAAATTTGGAAAGGAGAGCTTTACTTCTCATAAAGGGTTACAGCCCATAAGGTGGCCATTCTGAGAGCCTGGGAAGCAAAGCCTCCAGAAACACCTGCTTTGAGGGAGGGACAATGGGAACAGGAATTTGTGCTGAGCTGGGTGTCCAAATATACATATTTAACAAGCTATAGGAAGAATCATGAATATTTATGAAAGGAGAAATGTGCATGCACAATTGAGCTTTATGCCCCTTTATGGCGTCCATGTTTTAGAAAATGGCAGCCTCTGAAGTCAGAAGGTGAAGCAGAGGACATGAAAACTCTCGCTGTGCATACTCCATAGACTGGTTAAAATCATTCATGGTTGGTGGTCTCTTATCAGGAAAGAAGGCTGATTAGGTGTAGTGCCAAAACCACAAATAGGGAGGAGTAGATCATGGGATTGGCTTCTGTTTAGTCCTTAAGGAAAAAGGCCTGATTGCCATTAGCAAAGGAGGGGGTATAATGAAGCGTGTCTGACCCCACATCCTGTCATGGCTGAAAACTCAGTTTTAAGGTTTCTCTGGGGTCCCCTTGGCCAAAAAGGGGTCTAGTATGTTCAGTCAGTGGGAGGATATGGATTTTATTTTAGTTCATAGTAGGTAGTGGCCACAGCTTTAATGGTCCAATGTGTGATGCCAAGGAGTTTAGGAACTTGTCCTAAAAGCATAATGCCATGTTCAGGTTGGCATTTAAGAAATATCATTCTCTATTTTCCCTGTGGAGTGTGGAGAAGGGCAGCACTGGAGCAGGGACATCATTTATGTAGCTTTTTTACAAAAACATAAAAAATGATGTTGTTTCTAAATGAAGATTATGACAATAGTGATGAAGAGAACTGGAAGTTTAAATGACATTTAAACAGTAAAAGGACAGGACCAGATGATGAATAGAATATAGATAAGGGCAAGAAAAATTACCTGTTTGGGGGCTTGCATGCCATCGTCTTGCCAATTCTGTCTTTTTCTCTATTGTTATTTCTACTCTCCCAATGAAGTAAAAATGGTATTATGCTCTACATATTGTTTTGTAGTTTGGACATATTTCATTATAATAAATATGTTACAAATAAATACACATCAATTTAAATTGCTGCTCAGCATTTCATTGTAAAAATATAGAATAGTATATTAGACTAATCTCTTATGGTGGACATTTAGGTTGTTACTGTCTTTAAATATTACAAACTATGTTGTTATAAGTATCTTTAAAGCCAACCCTATGTTCATATTCTTCTTATTATTTTAGAATATTTCTAGAAAAGGAATTGCTGAATTTTTGAAGTTTTGATAAATATTACTGAATTATTCTCCAAAACAGTGATCTCCAACCTTTGTGCACCAGGGACTGGTTTCCTGGCAGACAATTTTCCACAGACATGGTGTGGGGAAGATGTTTTGGGATGATTCAAGCTCAGTACATTTATGGTGCAGTCAAAACTCTCTGCTAATGATAATTCGTATTTGCAGCTGCTCCCCAGAACTAGCATTATCACCTCAGCTCCACCTCAGATCATCAGGCATTAGAATCTCATAAGGAGCATACAACCTAGATTCCTCACATGTGCGGTTTATAGTATGGTTTGTGCTCCTGTGAAAATCTAATACCTCTGCCGATCTGACAGGAGGCGGAGCTCAGACAGTGATGTGATCAATGGGGAGCAGCTTTAAATACAGATGAAGCTTCACTTGCTTGCCTGCCACTCACCTCCCACTGTGCAGCCAGTTGCTAAGTGCTACCCGTCCATGCCCCAGGGGTTGGGGCCTGCAGCTCCAAAGAGTTTATCTCAAGATATTCACAAAACTGTTTATCCTTTGATTTGAAGTGTCTTGGAAACTCTACTTTTTGAAAGATGTCTCAGAAATAGATAAGGCATAGTGGCATAAATTTAAATATTTTAATGACTGCTACTTTTACTTTTGTCTAATTCCTAAATAGCTGTTCAGGACACTTAAGGATTTTTATGGTCTAGTGAGGAATATTTTCCTTTACAATCTTGTATATAGCTTATATTATCCTTCTTTTGGAAATAGAAAATAATCTCAAAAATCAACTTTAATATTTATTTGTATAGAATTTACTAACCAATTGATGATAATTAGTAAAATTAGTAATAGTTAGGTCTAGTTATGGCTTGGTCTGGGCAAGTGATTATCTCTGTCAGAGTGGGAAAACTACAGCCAGTAGGCCAAATCCGCCAGCCTCCTGTTTTTATGTAACTTGCTAGTTAAGAATGGTTTGTACATTTTTAAATGGTGAAAAAAGATCAAGAAGAATTGTATGACATATGAAAATTATATGAAATTTAAGTTTCAGGTCCATAAATAAAGTTTGAATGGAGCATAACCTAGTCACCAGTTTACATATTGTCTATGGTTGCTTCATGCTAACAGCAGAGCTGAATAATTGTGACAGAAACTGTATGCCTGCAAAGACTACTGTATTTGCTATCTGGCCCTAAAATCACAAAAGAAGTTTGCTGATCACGTCTTGGGCTTCAGTTTTTAAAAAGATATGTCTTAAACCTGGACAGGCATTCCATGATGGCTATCTTCTTTCTCCTTTACTTTATACAAAAAAAAAAAATATTTTAAAAATGTAAAGCCTGTTTTAAACACTTCTGAACACACAAGCCAGAATGTAGCCAAACTGTAAAAAGTCCATTCCTACAATTCATTGTAGAAACCTTCTCACCATCTACTTCAAGGTATATAGCTATAGAAACGTACTTGAATGAGAGAAGTAACATTCTATAGGAATGGAATATGGGCCCTCACAAGGTGTCTGTGTAGGAACCCCACTGGGGTGGAAAGTGGTTGCTGAGGGTAGAGATGGTATCTTTGACAAATTAGTTGTTGCTCCTCAACATCTGAAAAAGAATCTTCAGGGTTTGTTTTCTGGAGTTGTAATAGTTGTCCTGACAGCACCCAGTCAATTTTAATCTTTGGCTGAGCAGTAGGATGGTAATCTCTGGATGACTGAATAAGCCATACTGGGTCCATTTTCTGATTTAAACACACTGAATCAATTTTTTCTTTCTTTCTTTCTTTCTTTCTTTCTTTCTTTCTTTCTTTCTTTCTTTCTTTCTTTCTTTCTTTCTTCTTTCTTTCTTCTTTCTTTCTTTTCCTTTCTTTCTTTGTGAGAAGGAAATATAAGTTTATTACTTTGCTGGCAAAGGAGAAGGGTGAAGACTCTTGTCTGAAATGCCATCATCGTAACAATAAGCAGAAGTACAGAGCTTTTAAAGGGTGGGTCCTCAGCTTCAGGCAATTGCTGTTCAACTACAGTTGATGAGCAGACTTTAGAAACAAAGAAAAATAATTAGAAATTAGAACCAAGGCAAAAAGTAGGACACACTATATTTCTCCACTATGAAAGTAGGTTTATATATCTGTCTTCTTTATTGTACTGAGGTCAGTTCTAGGAATTATGGCTCTCCAGTGCCTTATACAACACTTGGTGAGTAAATAAAAGGAAAAAAAGATGGAAAAAATGTATAAAGAAGGAAAGCCGATTACCATTTTTTCAAAAGCATAGAAAATTGGATATATAAATCAACATATGAGCAATATGGTGATGTGTTTTAAAAAAAATGAAGAACTTCTTTTCTTTTGACATGGCTGACCACATTGAAAATGATCCAAACCCAGTTCCCAATGTCCTTTCTGCTCCATTCTGTTCTCTTCTGATTGTAACATCTCTTTTTCAGTCTCATCCGTCTAAATTCAGACATTCTTTACTACCTTCATAGATTAAGAAATGTCTGTTATTTTTTTCTATATCTAATCACCCTATTCTGAGGCAAAAGTTTCAGTGACAATAGTTATCATTGGAGTTGTTATGCTTTTAAAATAATTTTTACTTCTGAACACCCTATACAACAACATGGCTAAAGAAACTATTTTATTTTTTGAGAGCTAAACATTTCCAAAGTCTCACTGTGTTTAATCCTCACAACAATCCTAATTACACTTTTTAGATCAGGACACTAAGACAGAGAGAAAAAGCAATAGGATCTGTCTAATTTTACAGTTCAGATATCCAGGTGAGATACATCATAATGGATGGGAATTCTTGACCTGTGTGTTGTGTGTGTGTGGTGTGTGTGTGTGAGAGAGAGAGAGAGAGAGAGAGAGAGAGAGAGAAGAGAGAGAGAGAGAGAGGCTAGAGCTTCAAGGGAATAATTTAAGGACTAAGACCCCAGCCCTCAGGAAGAAAGTGTCTCTCTGAATGATATTTCCTCTCTTCTTTTGCACTCTCACCTCAAGGTAATTATTAGTCAGATCAGAGGAAACATCTGCTGCTCTGACTGGTGTCCCACACTGAGAAACATTTGCTTCTGCCCTGAAAATGAAGTCGGGGCTCTAGAGTAATCAGATCTGCCTTGGCATTCCAAGAAGAAAGGCTTCAGGACTGGTTCATTGTGATCTCCTAGCCAGGGAAACTTGGGAGCTATTGTATTACTATTTTAAAGGAACCCAGCTGACAAGAACCCAAAGGAAATTATTGCAATAAAGAGAGGGAACTCAAATATCACATACACAAGTCATCTCTTCTTTGATGTATTATACCACTGTTATTCACAATGTGCCAAATCCACTTTAAAGATTAGTAAAATTTCTAATATGTTTTAAACAAACCTGGCTTAGTGGTTTGAAAGTAAATGAGCTATTTAGACAATGGTTGTTGTTTTTTTTTTTTGTACTTTCTTATGGAGATAATCTAAGTACAACATTTCTGCCAAAGACAAAATCCTATTGACTTCAATGGGCTTTTGGATCAATAGAGCCATCAAGGAAAGCAGCACTGATTTAAGTACTCTTTTTACTCTCACATGGGTAGCAACAGCCTGCAGAAAAACACAAAGAAATATTAATTGGCATGCTGCGATGTAGTAGCTTGTTTCTAGCCTAAGAAGAAGACAATTTTGTTTAGTTACAATAATATATTTTACTATCAAAAATTATGAAGTGGCTTATTAATTTTATGGTAAGAGCAACTTACTCGGTGAAAAATTTATTTGCGACTTGTTACCAGCTGTGGAAATAGTGTGGTTCCTAAAACTAAGCAGTAGACATAAATATTATCTTCCATTTTAAAACTATATAACTTATATAAGGGTACTACAAATAGATGATCATAGCTTCATTTTCTTTTAAAGGATTATATTAATTGTGTAAGCTGAATATTTATCCCCTATAAATATAAATCTCACTCTCTGTATATATGTATACACACATATTAAAAATGAAATGTCCAATTTCCTTACGTACTAAGTTTGATAGTTGCTATCCCTGACATTTCACTTTGACACTTCTTGTTTTATTTTTATTGTGAAGGTACATCCTCAGTCTTTCCAATGCATGTTGTGGCTTGTGATTATCTTCCAAATTTTTTTTAAGAGCAATTTTTGTGAAACCATGAATAAGTCAAAAATTGGTGTTATTTTTGAATATGAGTTCTGTCATGGAACCAATGCAGTGCAGACAGCTCAAAATATGAAGAAGTGTTTAGGAAAAAATGTAGCTAGTGAATGTACAGTATGTTGATGGTTTGAGAAGTTCTGTTCTGGTGAGTTTAATTTTGAAAATAATCCATATGGGTGACCTGAGACCAAGGTGGATAATGATGAGCTAAAAGTTGTAGTGGAAGCAAATCCATCTCAACCTATGCATGAATTAGTAGCAAGGTTTGACGTTACTGTTCCAACAATATTGGACCATTTGAAACAAATGGGCAAGGTGGGAAAAAAAAGAAGCTGGTTAGATGGGTTCCAGATGAATTAAACAAGCATCAGAAGAGACATCTTCTCGAAGTTTGCCTTTCTTTGCTGTCACAACAAAATTGTGAAACATTTCTACATGTGTGATGAAAAATGGATTCTTTTTGACAATTTCAAGCATTTGGCACAATGGTTGGATACAGATGAAGTGCCAAAGTGTAGTCCAAAACTGAACATTCATCAATAAATGCTAATGGTGTCTATTTGGTGGTCCACTGCTGGTATTATCTACTACAACTTTGTGAAACCTGGTCAGTTGATTAAAGTGGATGTCTACTGCAACCAATTGAATGAAATTATGAGGATGCTTATGATTAAGCAATCAAGATTGGTCAATAGAGACAGGCCAATCCTCTTGCAAGACAATGCTCTACCACATGCTGCACAAATAATTCTGCTTAAACTACAGCAGCTGGACCTGGAAACTCTCTATTATCCACCATATTTACTAGACCTTGCATCAACTGACTACCACTTCTTCTAGGCTTTGGACCACTACTTGTGAGGAAAAATACTCAATTCTCAACATGCTGTGGAAAACGCCTTTCTCGATTTCATCGCCACTTGCTCTCCAGACTTCTTTGCTGCAGACATAAACAAGCTACCGTTAAGATGGCCAAACTGTTAGGCCAAACTGATAGTTTAGGCACATACTTTGATTAATTGTACTGCTTCTTGTTTGAGATATAATAAACTACTCTTTTGATTCGAAATCAGACATTTCATATTTAATGAACTAATATTTAATATGTACATATATAAGTGTGCATATTGTCTTTCTGATTTGTTTATTACAGAAAAAGCTAAGTTTATCATTTAGGAGAACAGAAAATATCCAAACCAATCAAAAGAGGAGAAAAATAGGGAAAAATCTATATTTTAACAAAAGAGAAGTTCTAATTGACAGTATAACTTGACTGACTATTATGACCAACCATTACGAGACTATTCCTTAGGAACAGTTGTGTAACTCAGGTTGTTTTCTGGAGTTGTAATAGTTGTCCTGACACACCCAATCAATTTATGGCTGAGCAGTAATGGTAATTCTCTGAGACTTGAATAGCCATACTGGTCCATTTTCAGATTTAAACACACTGAATCACATTTTCTTTCTTCTTTATTCTTTCTTCTTCTTTCTTCTTATCTTTTTTCTTTCTTCTTCTTTCTTTTTCTTCTTCTTCGAGAAGTGAAATAACAGTTTATACTTTCGCAAAGGAGAAGGAAGACTCTGCTGAAAGCCATCATCCTATACAAAACAGAAGACCAGAGCTTTTAATGGTGCCTCACTTCAGGCAATTTGCTTTCAACTACAGTTATGAGCAGACTTGAACAAAGAAAAATAATGAAATTAGAACAAGCAAAAAAGTAGACACACTATATTTCTCCGACGTATGAGAGTAGTTTATATATTGCTCTTTATTGTACGAGTCAGTCTTGAATTATTGGCTCTCCAGTGCCTTATACAACACTTGTGATATAAAAGGAAAAAAAAAGAAAAAATGTTATATAAGAAGAAACGATACTGCACTTTCAAAGCATAGAAAATAATATAAATCAACATATGAGCAAAGTGGTGATTGGTTTCTAAGTTTTTTAAAAAAAATGAGAACTCTGTCTTTGACATGCTACCACAGAAAATACCAAACCGCAGTTCCCAATCCTTTCTGCTCCATTTCTCTCTGATTGTAACTATTCCTTTTCATCTCATCATCTAAATTCAACATGCTTTACACCTTCATAGATTAAGAAATTGTCTGTTATTTTCTAAAATCTTAATCACCCTATTCTGAGGCAAAATCAGTGACATATATCATTGGAGTTTTATGCTTTTATAATAATTTTACTCTGAACACCCTATACAACCAACATGGCTAAAGAACTATTTATTTTTGAATCTAAACATTTCCAAGCTCACGTGTGTTATCCTCACCAACAATCCTATTACGGACTCTGAGATCAGACCAAGACAGAGAAAAAGCATAGGATCTGTCTAATTTATCAGTCAGATATCCAGGGAGAATACATCATAAATAGAGAATTCTGACCGTGTTTGGGTGTGTGGGTTGTGGGTGTGTGAGAAGAGAAGAGAAGAGAGAAGAGAAGAAGAGAGAGAGCAGAGAGGCTAAGCTTCAAAATATATTAATGACGATAAACCCCATCCCTCAGAAGAAAGTGTCCTCTCTGAAGTTTCCTCTCTTCTTTGTGCACTCCACGCTCAATGTAATTATGTAGTCGAATCAGAGGAAACATCTCTGGCGCTGACTGGTGTCCACACTGAGAAACATTTGCTTCTCCCCTGAAATGAGGAGTCGGGGCTCTAGAGTAATCAGATCTGCTTGGCAATCAAAGAAGACAAGCTTCAGGATTTACAAAAACATAAAAAATGATGTTGTTTCTAAATGAAGATTATGACAATAGTGATGAAGAGAACTGGAAGTTTAAATGACATTTAAACAGTAAAAGGACAGGACCAGATGATGAATAGAATATAGATAAGGGCAAGAAAAATTACCTGTTTGGGGGCTTGCATGCCATTGTCTTGCCAATTCTGTCTTTTTTTCTATTGTTATTTCTACTCTCCCAATGAAGTAAAAATGGTATTATGCTCTACATATTGTTTTGTAGTTTGGACATATTTCATTATAATAAACATGTTACAAATAAATACACATCAATTTAAATTGCTGCTCAGCATTTCATTGTAAAAATATAGAATAGTTTATTTGACTAATCTCTTATGGTGGACATTTAGGTTGTTACTGTCTTTAAATATTACAAACCATGTTGTTATAAGTATCTTTAAAGCCAACCATATGTTCATATTCTTATTATTTTAGAATATTTCTAGAAAAGGAATTGCTGAATTTTTGAAGTTTTGATAAATATTACTGAATTATTCTCCAAAACAGTGATCTCCAACCTTTGTGCACCAGGGACCGGTTTCCTGGCAGACAATTTTCCACAGACATGGTGTGGGGAAGATGTTTTGGGATGATTCAAGCTCAGTACATTTATGGTGCAGTCAAAACTCTCTGCTAATGATAATTCGTATTTGCAGCTGCTCCCCAGAACTAGCATTATCACCTCAGCTCCACCTCAGATCATCAGGCATTAGAATCTCATAAGGAGCATACAACCTAGATTCCTCACATGTGCGGTTTATAGTATGGTTTGTGCTCCTGTGAAAATCTAATACCTCTGCCGATCTGACAGGAGGCGGAGCTCAGACAGTGATGTGATCAATGGGGAGCAGCTTTAAATACAGATGAAGCTTCACTTGCTTGCCTGCCACTCACCTCCCACTGTGCAGCCAGTTGCTAAGTGCTACCCATCCATGCCCCAGGGGTTGGGGCCTGCAGCTCCAAAGAGTTTATCTCAAGATATTCACAAAACTGTTTATCCTTTGATTTGAAGTGTCTTGGAAACTCTACTTTTTGAAAGATGTCTCAGAAATAGATAAGGCATAGTGGCATAAATTTAAATATTTTAATGACTGCTACTTTTATTTTTGTCTAATTCCTAAATAGCTGTTCAGGACACTTAAGGATTTTTATGGTCTAGTGAGGAATATTTTCCTTTTCAATCTTGTATATAGCTTATATTATCCTTCTTTTGGAAAAATAGAAAATAATCTCAAAAAATCAACTTTAATATTTATTTGTATAGAATTTACTAACCAATTGATGATAATTAGTAAAATTAGTAATAGTTAGGTCTAGTTATGGCTTGGTCTGGGCAAGTGATTTATCTCTTGTCAGAGTGGGAAAACTACAGCCAGTAGGCCAAATCCAGCCAGCCTCCTGTTTTTATGTAACTTGCTAGTTAAGAATGGTTTGTACATTTTTAAATGGTGAAAAAAGATCAAAAGAAGAATTGTATGACATATGAAAATTATATGAAATTTAAGTTTCAGGGTCCATAAATAAAGTTTGAATGGAGCATAACCTAGTCACCAGTTTACATATTGTCTATGGTTGCTTTCATGCTAACAGCAGAGCTGAATAATTGTGACCGAAACTGTATGGCCTGCAAAGACTACTGTATTTGCTATCTGGCCCTAAAATCACAAAAGAAGTTTGCTGATCACTGTCTTGGGTCTTCAGTTTTTAAAAAGATATGTCTTAAACCTGGACAGGCATTCCATGATGGCTATCTTCTTTCTCCTTTACTTTATACAAAAAAAAAAAAAATATTTTAAAAATGTAAAGCCTGTTTTAAACACTTCTGAACACACAAGCCAGAATGTAGCCAAACTGTAAAAAGTCCATTCCTACAATTCAT